GTCGTGCATTGTCCGCAGTCGCGGCCTCTAAATCTCGTTCCTGACGTGGCTCTGCGGCGTAGCCCTTCTCACTCTCTCCTCTCTCTCTCCTCCAAGATACATACGGCTGTCGGCAAGTTACACGTTCCACGGACACTCGTTCTCCCTTATTGCGAAGCGGACCGTCCGATAACCATCTTTTCGAGAATTTCGGCCCCCTTTCATAAGTCTCATCGCCGCGGTACGACCGCTTCTCGCACCTCCTTGTGCGCCAACACGAATTTCGCGCCGATGATAGATCTTCGAAGGATCCTCGACTTGCAATCGTTTTTCGGCCCGAAACTTTGCCCGATGTAACGGTCGATCTCGAACGATTGAACGTTGTCGAAAAATAGCGGGTATGATGGATAAGATACGGAGAGCGAAACGAGGATTCCTCGCGACCAATTACCAGTCGCGAGAGGCGATTAATTTCTGCCGTTACAAGGAACGGTCGCCACGAACGAGCAAACGCGAAAACTATTCCAAGGTTAACACGCGTTGCGCCTGCGCGCATGTTTATGCGTTCAACCGTCCAAACCGAACGCGTGCTTAACAAGTTAGCGATGGGCCGTGACGTCGTGCGTCCGTTCCAACGATTCTCCTCTTTTTCGCGGTCCCTTAACGTTGCACAAGTCGTACGTGCTCGTATCTCCGTAACCGCGAGTTCCAGTTCTCGATCGAGTTTCGATACGTGACCAATTTCCGAATGGATCGTTCGAATGGGTCGGAAATCGATGGGAGAAAGAGACTCGCGAACGGTGTCGCAGCCATCGCTGGTCGAAAGCGGGCCAGATACTCGGCCTATTGCGCGGTGGAAAATGTCGAGCCGCGATCCTATACGATGTCCGGAAGACTTATGCGTCTGCGCGGCAACGGTACGAGTCGGATGGAACAGGAAGAGAAGAGAGAGAGATAGAGAGAGAGGGACAACACGAAGCGAGGTGTATCGGCCGGCGTACAAATTTATGCCGGTGCCACGCTAATGTCCGCATACGTTCTCTTTTAACGTGTGTACACGCGGGATTCGACCTGTCGTCGAAACGAGTCCGAGAGCGAATCCCACTTTCGATCGAGAGATTTCTTTCGAATTTTTATACACAGTTGGAGACTCCCGTATCCGAATATCTTAATATACGAACGTTCTATTATCCGTACGTTTCGTATGTTTACATACTTAAATTACGACGTAAATATAACGTATTTAGATGTGATATAAATACTTTCTTGCGTTCAGTCGGCTAAACGTAACCATATTGATCGAATCTGAAATCGCAATAGCAAAATGAAAACGTGTAGCTTTAACTATTGAAGTGAAATACGAAATAATTAAAAATGTTGGAAGTAGTGAAAGTGCAACGAAATTAGCAAGAATATACGATGGATGATTCAATGATTCGATGGTTCGAAGTGCAACGAGGACTTAGATGTTGAAAGAAACTGTCAATTTGTTCATTTTTACTTGAATAAATGAAGTTTAATGCAAAAGAAAGTAATTGTTCTACTATCCGAAAATTTCACTTTTGTCTCTCTTAGTTAGTTCGGATACGGAAGTTTTTTCCTTCCTTTCTCGAATGTTAATCATTCGCGCGGCGAGAATCGTCAAAGGTTCGTTTATTTCGAAATATATTCCCAAAAATTCGTTGCACGATCTCGTTACGGCGAGTATCGCGAGAAGCAAGGCATGATTTAACGCGTATCTCCATATATTTACACGGACTCGGTGCTCGGTTTAAAATATTCCGACCGAAGAAAAGACGCGCGGGACGAGCGGAAGGCTGTTCGCAACACGCATAATTTGCACCCCGTTGCGCCATATACGTAAGTAGGTTGCCAAGTTGGGACGAAGATGTAGATAAATAAAGCGCGAGGCAACCTTTTGCTCGAGCCCCTTTCCTCCGGAATTCCCGATTTCGTCTTGCTTCCATCTTCAAGATCTTCAACTTTTTTTCTCCTCGAGGCGAGTTTCGCCCTTATCCCAATGGTACACCAGCTGCCAACCGTCGCAAGGTGGATACGGATTCGTCTCATTCAGATCGATTCCGGGTAAAATAACCTCCGAGATCTTATATTACGCGATTTTGCAATCTCATCCAAACAGAGATAATAATATAATCGACCAAGGATAGTCGCTCGCTCGCGAGTAAAGGAAACGTTGGGCTCTTCTAATACGCTCGATTATTTTGTCGAAAGTACGAGAATCGTTTCTACTCTTCTTCTCGTCCTCGATGTATCGATATAGGAAGAAACGGACACGAGCCAATCGGCGTCGTTCCTCCTCCAGGGCCATCCTTCGCAATTACCCGTCTCGCAATCGGTAAAACTCTAAGCACTCTGCCGAGCCGCGTACCTGTTGCCGGTGTAATTTCACCTTCGATTCCCTGCCGGCTGCTGCCCCCGCCTCCTCCCTTCCTTCCCTCGCGCCGTTGTAATTTTGCGGGAGGCGAAAGAGCGGAGGGAGAGGAAACGAAGTGTGAGCAGCTCGGTAATCAGCACGTACCTCATCTTCGACGATAACGCGAAATTCCACGCGTACGCGTTTCTCTCTTTCCCTCCCCTTTCCTCTCCTTCCAATCCGATCCTTCGCGGATCCTAAAAGCCAATCTACCACGTTGACGAGCATGGTCGCTCGATCCGTCGATCCGTGACAAAAACGACGGGGGAGGGGAGATTTAGAAATTCCTTTTGTGGTGACGAGCGATCGACTCGAGTTAACGAGTTGCCGATATTTACCGTGTCATGCGGATTACTACTATTGTATGCATACGCAACACACGTGCACGCTTGACGATTAAACACAACGCGTCAGCCGCACGAGTTGGACGCTACGTTAAACTCCCTTTTCTTCCCTCCAAGCTTAATCGAATCGATCGCGACGCCTCCAAAAATTATACACCTCCAATGCAAACGCATTTCCAAGAATACCCTCCACCTGCTCTACCTCCTTTCCTGGAACTTCTCTCCGTTCCCCGGAACCGCTCGAGTGTAATTTAGGGCGACTGTACATACACAATCATATACGTATATGTGCGTCAAGAATGATTACAGGATTATCTATTAGGTACCTACGAAACGATCGTGATACGGGAATAATGGAAGAGAGATGGAAATTATTCGAGAGCGAATAAAATGGTGGAGTCCTTGGGGGGAAAGGAAATTTTCGAGAAACGCGAGGAGACGCGGAGCCGGTAAATTACCGGCGCACGCTCAAGAATCCGAGCGTGGCTCGGGC